CATTCCAGTTCCATGACCGGATGTCGCTCACACTATGGTCCTCACACACGTGCACTGGTTTGGGTCATTACAGGTGAGTGGGGGGATGGCTGTGTCGTGTGTGGTGTTGTCCATGGGAGGCCGAGTGTTCTTACGAATTGCTTTTGGGAGCATAGGGGGGAGGGATTATGTAAGTGGATTCCGATCGCTTCCGCTGTGGCCAAAATGCGACTCCTAATGCTCTTAGATCAGCGGGTGCGAACCAAGTAGACAGGTCGAAACGCCTCAGCCACATCAATTACGTGGTTAGAGTCCACTAGGTGTGAAACGATTGAGCTGTTAATCGTCCTAATTACTCCACTGTTCAACCAGGCCGGGTGATGCTCACGGACTCGTTCAGATAAACGTCTGCTCGTGCGGCCAATGTACCTTGCCCCACAGGAACAAGTAAATAGGTATCTCTCCACCCCTTCTAAACTATTTGATATAAATTGTGATATATTAGCCTGTAGAAGAATCACCGCAAACGAGCTTGTTCGCTGCTTTGTGTTTTCTCACAATGAGTATTGATGGTATATTCAGACAATACTGCATCAGATCGATTTTTTGTGCACTTGGTGAGATAGCCTGAGTTTGGGATTTCTTGAAATTATTTTTCCACATATTTTTCACTTTTATCTGAGTCTTTCATTTCATAGTGACTACACTCGAAAATCTACCTATATGGCCTACCTAGATCTAGAACTTGCTACCAGAGTTCACAGAAGCCCCGGATTGATTTCATCCAGCACTGAACACGACATTCGAACACAGTAAGCTCGATAATTCTACCCGTCTCAAATGTGCTGGGACTGGAACAATGGCAACCCCACATATGTCTTCTACGAAAAGGGATCTGGGGTTCGAACCCAGGACAGACCAAAAGATGAGTTTCGTGTCAGCAATATTTGACTGTGGGACCAATCGATTAGATGCTTACCGAATGAACGAACAACCGAACGCAGAGGCAATATCCGATGCGTGACTAATGAACGACAATCATGTACAAATTATAATACCATTAATTTTTTTTAGAGTAGCAGGCTTGGATTATCCCATTCGAGTGCTTAAGAGGCACCAGGCACTCTTGATGGTATTGGATAGGGGTTTCACTCCTTGAGAGATTGTCAGTTCCCCACGAGGTGAATGAATCCAAATGCGATGGAAATCTTTGTGATAACCGACAAAGGGCACTGGAAAGCTGCTTTGTCCTTTTTTGAGACTCGTCAGAAGTGCTTACGTTTGTGTCCCTGTCAGGACTCGAACCGCGAACATTCGGGTTTGGACCTCAAACCCTTACCGTTGAGCCACACGGTTGACGGTCATCACCTTGTGCGAACGGCTCAATCAACTTAGAGTATCAATCTTGGATTAACCCATTCGATTGTTCAGAGGCACCAGACACTCTTGACGTTCTTGGGTATTTCAGAGCTGGAAATGTAAAATATCCCTATCGTGATACTCATTGTTCCTCAACGACCCTATAAATTTCCAGAAAAATTTTCTTTTATAAGATCATAGATAACCGTAGCTTTAAAACAGAATTTGGCTCATCTGTGAAAACGTACAGCATCAACCTTCGGTTTGCGTGAACAGTCGAGAGTAGTTCAGACATACGTAGTCCGTCTAGCTGCCATACGCAACGTTTACAAATCCCCTTACGAAACAACCAACACCTTGTTTTCATGCCTCGTATTTGATTTTCGATTCAGACATGAATATGTGCTTCTTCCGTTGTTGCTGTTGTTACTTTTGTTGTGCTCTGGGCAACAGAAACGACCGTTGGCATGGCCACAGGGGAAACAAGCTGAGGAGATGAAATTCATTCTCTTAGCTTTGTGAAGGGGTAACTGCAACACTGTAAGGGGTGGGTTGGTGGCTGTGAAACATAGCAACTAAAGTGCATGTTCATATTGTGTGTGTTTCCTCTCGTTTAAATGGTATTCCTAATGATAAAAGCCGTTGCTTATCGATCTAAACATCCAATACAACATGTGAACAATGATTTGAACGGAGTGGTTTACGTTGTGGTCTAATTCTGCTGATTCAAGCGTCCATCATCAGAGCGAACAGAATATAAATAAAGTTAGTCTGACATACCTAAAAATATCCAGCTCATGTAAACATTGGTGGTTAAAAATACATACACAGACAACACAATCTCCCCACACCCCAGTATAGACTGACGCCACCGTAGTGGAGTCGTTTGTTCGTGATTCCAGTTGATACAGACTGTGGTCGAGAATCCTAGTCATTCTCATGCTTAGTTGCTGAACATGCTGTCAGTACCCGGTTATCAAACTCAAATGTATAAAGCGATACAAAAATAATTGCACATGGCATCAGTCGTGGCATAGGATAATCAAGACCGCGCTGTCTATTGTATCGAGCGGGGTGGGTATTGATAAGTGAGCTAATACTCAGACATCCCAGCGTTTGGGTAATTCTTAATCTTCTATGCTTAATCCCTTCCCTTTGTTACTCCTCCTTCCAACCCGTAAAATTCCCTCTGATAACTTGTTTGTCACTGGACAAAGTTCGTTGCCATGAAGCGTTGTAAGTAGTTTACCATAAAACAGAATGCAGACTGTGAAGCCGCGTCAAACACTGAACTGAGGGCCTCTCAAAATGAAGATTCTAATACAGATGGACCAACAAGTGCGTCTGACGATTACAATGGACTCTTTGAGGATTGACGTCTTCTGCCTATCGGGGACTCGAATCCAGGATCCTAGTACACTAATCCATTTAAATGTACCGGATTTGCTTGTGATGTTCTTTCTCCACAAGTCAGGTCACGGAGAAGCTCGTTCAATAAGCCAGGATGAAGTAGGCATTGTACTCAATGATACAGCCAAAGCGTAACTAATCGATTGGAGCCCTGTCAACAATCGCTTATGTGCAATGTGGCTCCAATCGTCTATCAATGTCCGGAAGTGAAGGAACACAAAAAACATGTTTGTTCATTATCTCAGCGTATGCGCCAACCAACTGCAGTTCTGACACATAAAAAGACGACTTTTATGATAAACTCACCGAACTTATTCGGTTGAGCCAAAGCTCCGGTATAGCTTTGCTCTCTAAAGATATTAACACGTAAGCTGGAAAACTCAGCGCACCGGAAGCTTGTCTCGGAGGTCTGTCCTGCCAACGGTGATGGATTTCTTCAGCTCTGCGTAGATCACGATCTGTTCCTATTTTTTACCAAATTTCTACACAGCCCTCAACGGACAGCAACGTGTTGCTTCAATTCAAATACACGCTAACTGAAATCTGTCACAGAGAAATAAGCTACCGTTGGTGTGGTTTACCCTTAAACTACGGATCGTATGGGACTAACTGTGAGCGCAAAGAAGGACAGTGAAAATTGGTTGGCAACAATAGCTAGTGAAATGGAAGTGGCAGCTGCTTCAGAGAATAGTCAACGACTGTTCCAACTGAGACCAGCGAAACCTATTCTGTAAATAAAAGTGGAAAAGTTATTCACGTTAGAAAACAGCGGCTTGAACAGTGAGCACAGTAATTCCATCAACAGTTCAGCTGGCATGAAGTGAACCAGACTACCTCATCTGTTGTAGTTGACGCTCTGAAGAGTGTTGAGCAATCCTCTGGTAGTAACAAAATTCCACCAATCTTGTACTCCAGTCCTGAATAAGGGAAAAACAGCAGAACCCCTTTTTATGGTGAGTGACACTGATCTTGTAGACTCCACATCTGATTTAATGCGTAACATCTGGTCGCTAGATTGCATCGCATCATCTTGAAACAAACTATTGATCGCTTCTATTTTAAAAAACGGATCTCACAACGAATACACAGAAAAACGTGGAATAAATTTGATTTCAATCGTCACCAAATTGTAAACTTTCGCAAACTTTGAAGTTTAATGCCTTTCAAGTATGGAATTATACGATGAAGTAGCGGTTGTATCGACCATACTTTTACGTTGCTTCAGGTCCTTGAGCTACGCTCCGGGCGGAAGAAAACCACCAGGAGCACAAACGTTAATGTGGAGACGAGGCACGGAATAATGCACAGTATAATTGGGTAGAGTGCATGTCGCCGGGAATTAATGCTGGGGTCCAAAATACCNAAAATACCCTGTAAATGGTTGTAAATTTCGAATCACTGATTCCGCAGAACAATGATGATTATGATTATGACGATAATGAGGATGATGATGATGACGAGGATGATGACGATGATGACATTCATTTCGAAGATACGGATGGTGATGATGATGGAGAATTTGGTGATGATGATGAGGATGATGATGATGAAAAAATTGGTGATGATGAAAAATTTGCTGACGAAGGGGTTGATGATGATGAAGATTTTCGTGACGATGATGATGATGAATATGATGATGATCATGATCATCATGAAGATGAACATATTAGTGACGATCATGATGATGATGAAGATTTTGATGAAGAAGAAGCAGATGAAAATGATGAAGATGATGATGAAGCTGAAGATAATGATGATACAGATGATGACGATGATGACGGTGACGACGATGATGATGATGCGGACGATGACGATGAAGATTTTGGTGACGATGATGATGATGATGATGATGATGAATATGATGACGATGACGATCATGATGTAGATGAAGATATTATTGACGATCATGACGATGATGATGAAGATTTTGGTGATGACGATGACGATGAGGAGGAAGATGATTAATTCAGTGATGATGAGGATGATGATGATGATGTTGATGATGACTATGACAATGATTCGGATTTTGGTGAGAAGGTGACGAAGATGATGAAGATTCTGTTGAGGATGATGATGATGACGATGACGATAAAAAAGATGAAGATTTTTATGGTCACGTTGATGATGACGATGATGGAGAATTTGCTGGGGACAATGAGGATGATGATGATGATGACGATGATGAAAATTTTGGTGATTATGCAGATGATGGGGAAGATCCTGGTGATGGTGACCATGATGACGATGTTGATGATGATGGCGAAGAATTTGCTGATGTTGAAGATGATGATGATGATTCGGATGATGATGATGATGAAGATGAGGAAGATTTTGATGAGGATGGTCGTGATGATGACGATGTAGATTTTGTTTATGACGATGACGATGATGATGATGATGATGCTGATGATGACGACGATGATGACGATTCTGTTGAGGATGATGATGATGACGATGACGATGATCACGGAGATGATGAAGATTTTTGTGGTCATGTTGATGATGACGATGATGGAGATTTGCCTTGAAACCATGATGTTGATGATGACGATTTTTTGACGTTGATGATGATGATGATGATGATGATGAAGATTTAGGTGTTGATGATGATGATGCTGATGAAGATTTTGGTGAATATGATGACGAGGCTGATGAAGATTTTGATGATGATGATGAAGATGATGACGATGATGATGACGATGATGAAAATTTTGGTGATTATGTTGATGATGGGAAAGATTCTGGTGATGGTGACCATGATGACAATGTTGATGATGATGCCGGAGAATTTTCTCATGATGAGGATGATGATGACGATGATGAAGAAGATTGCGTTGATACTGATGATGGTATTGATGATGATGATGAAGATTTTGATTATGACGATGACGATGACGATGATGGTGATGATGATGATGACGATGTTGGAGGTTTTGCTGGGGACGATGATGATGATGAGGATGACGTTTTTTGCGATAATGATAATGATGAAGATTTTGGTGATGATGACGATGCACACGATGATGATGATTACGATGAAGATTTTCGTGACGATGACGATAACGATGATGAAGATTTTGTTGAGGATGATGATGATGACGATAAAGATTTTGGTGATGGTGATGATGGTAATGATAATAATGATGAAAATTTTGGTGATGATGATGATGAAGAAGATTGTGGTGACGATGATGATGACGATTATGAGGATGATGATGGTGATGATGAACATTTTGATGCTGATGATGCAAAAAAAGACGATGATGATGATAGGGATGAGGATTTTGATGATGATGATGATGATGATGATGAAGATTTTGGTGAAGATGATGCTGATGGAGATTATGGTGATGATGATGATGAAGATTTTTGTTATGATGACGATGATGGTTGTGATGATGATAAAGTTTTTGTTGATGGTAATAATGATGATGATGTTGAAGAATAATGATGATGATGATGATGATAAAGACGATGATTATGATCACGATAATCATGATAATGATGAAGATGAGGAAGTTTTTGGTGATGTTGTTGATGTGGACGATGAAGAAGATGATGAAGACTTGTGTGATGATGATGATGATGAGGATGATGATGACTATTTTGGTGATGAAGATGGTGATGATAATTTTGGTGATCATGATGATGATGATGATTTTGGTGATGATGATTATGATGAGGAGGAAGAAAATTTGGTGATCATGAGAACCTTGATGATGATGATGAAGATTTTGTTGAGGAGGATGATGATGATGGTGAAGATGACGACGATTTTGGTTTTGATGACCATGGTGACGATGAGGTTGATGGTGTATATTTTGGTGATGATGATGATGATGAGGAGGAGGAGGAGGAGGAAGATTTTTGTGTTTATGATGATGGTGATTCTTTTGGTGATGATGAAGATTTTTTTGATGATGATGATTTTGGTGATGATATTCACTTCGATGGTAACGACGATGATAATGCCCATGTTGTTTTTACACCAAGAAATATTCAGGGGTGCAGTTGGCATCACAGTTGTATCTCTGGTTGACCAACTGGCCGGCCGGGTAGAAATGCACGGATATATCCAAAGTGAACTTACCAAAAATGGGTCTTAGAACATATTAGTCTCAAAAAACGAAATGATGTTTTGTTTGTCTGATAATTTGTGTGAGGGAGACATCTGTACGCGCGAAAATATAATTTGGAAGAGAAAAGTTCTATGATGAAAAGGTGATGTTGACCCAGCTGCATTGTAAAACGGTATCTTTCAGCCTAGAATCGTTCGCATGGACTAGTTGCTTGGACTGGTGACGGACAACTTACCGGGTCATACGTTTGCCCCGAAACGACACATCTGTCCAACTTTCGCGCGTTCTCTCTATCTGCTATAAGGGCCTGTAGTATGATTCAAATGAAGGCGCTGGTGAAATGGAAACACTCCGGGAGGGGGGGTGAATTTCACCCGGCTGTTCTCACACGGTTGTCCAATCACCAAGCTGTGCCGTTTGCGGCCATTTTGAACGATTGGTTCAAGGACTGTTGGAAGTTTTTTTAATATCAGAACCGTTCCATTCACCGCTTGCGGTCATTTTGTTTACTATTCAAGAAAAACTTTTATCTGGCGGCAATTGACATAATCAGAGTGTAATCAGTTCAATTATCATGCTCTTATACTCGTCTTTAACTCCATTGTTACTTGGTGAGCTAGCACTCACCAGTCCAGGATAGAGAGTGTTTTCCTGTATCTAACCTTGACTATGGCGATGAATTCCACTGTGTCCGCTCAAACAGATAACGTGCTTTCTATGTGTTTCACAGGTCTGAATTATCATAGAGAACTTAATTTACTCAATATATATATATATATATATATATGTGTGTGTGTGTGTGTGTGTGTGTGTGTGTGTGTGTGTGAATGGCTTTTCGCATTAATTGCTATAACCTACTAATTAGGTATTCGCTGACGGGGTAATTGTGCCGCCTATCGGGTTCCAGTGTGAGTTTATTTTCTTTGAGTTCTCCAGTTATTTATCTGCTATTTTCGCATTGTGTTTAAATTTAGCATCATCTATCGATTTTCCGAATGTACGTCTATAATATACATATATATACATATAATGTAATTATATAATATATCTATGTAAAGCGCGTGCAATACCGTTTCACAATACATCTCGGCAAATATCAATACTTCATGATATCACTTTTCTCTTCCAAATTAAATTTTCCTGATTGACAAATTCCCCCTGATATGAATTATCAGACAAACAAAACATCATTTATTTTTTTAAAACAAATTTGTTTTGAACTCCATTTTGGTATGTTCATTTCGGATATACCCGTGCATATCCACGGGACCGACCAGTTGATGAACAATAGGTAGAACTGTGAAACCAACTGCATCCCTATGTTATTCGTAGTGACAAAACAAAGTGGATAATGGAAAAGGTAAAAAAAAACAAATTTTATTGTTTCGATGTGAATATATAGTATGTTCACATATCACCCGGATTCTGTTGTCTTTCTTCACGGTCGTTCCATTCTCAACACATATGAATGGTTCCTCGCCCCACTTGTCAGCTGAATGTTCACCCTCTACCTCCACTCCGTCCGGTCTCCGTTTCAACCAGTGCGCCCTAACCGGACAGGGATTTCTATTTTGAAATCTCGCCAATACGGTCCCACAGGCTAACTGCTTACGTCCGCGGGTTAACAGACAATTCATCAACTTTTTAAGCGTCCTAAAAGTTCCTCGCCTTTCCCCCAACGCGGATAACAATTTGACTCTGCAGAACTGCATCGCGCGCACGTATGGACACACGCACGCACGCACGCATGCACACACACACACACGTTTTGTTTTAGACATGAACAACCGTGTCTTGTTCCGAGCTCCATACTTATCCACAAGAACTCACCAGTCCACTATTGTTTTGGAACGGTCTGGCCGAAGATCACACACACACACAAACACGTGCCCAAGTGTAGTAGAACAATATGGTCTATGAAACGAAGACGACGACACCAGGGGCACAAAATATCTATGGGACTGGCTACGTCCATTTCTATTCTTAGTTGTTACCATAGTTTCCCGCGTGTCTTCCGTTAATCCCCGAGATGCAACAAGGTCAATCGGAGTGTGGTGAGTAGTCCATACACCGACGATTATTCTATGAACCAATCACGATTTGTGCCGGAAAATCTGTAGCATGTCGTGAATGGGAACAGTAAGGTGACATTACTCTGTCGGACACGTTGATTGTGCACACCGATTGAACCCCCAGTTCAACTGCGGCATAATTGTGCACACGATTACGGTGTATAGGAGGAAATTGGCAGAGACTGACAGATTTTCTTGCCCCATATCATACTTGTTTTGGATAGTAAATACCCATTGGAAATATAATAATCCGTACGAGATGATCAGCTCACGAAAGACGTTCACGGATGGGCAATTGAAGAATCAGCTGACCAAACTGGATCCAGAAATGCAGGTGAGTCTGCTTTCCGATGTGAAAACGGTCTCTTCGTCCCTGTCGTGCCCGTGACAGCATAGCTTTATCAAGGGGTTTCAATCGGCAATTTAAGTATTGCTATTCACTTTGGTTCATTCTGAAAAGTTTGTGGGATGAGTCTGTCTAGAGAGCAGTGTGAATCCACTAGTACAATAGGAAACCCAAATGTAAACAGTTGGTACAGGTCAACATCACACTGCCGTTCAGGACTCAGTTCGACGTTATCACAGTGAAACTTTCTCACTTATTTATATCCGGCGAAACTGTTTGATCTGGACACCGAATTGTTCCTTAAAATTTTATACACAATTGTGCATTCATTGTAACAAGACAAAGCACTGGCAAGAATCAAGCAATATGAAAAAATGGGTGTCATGCACCATCAATAGTTCAATGTTCGTTGAAACACATGGTTTTAGTCATCAAACGAAGGGTACCTTTGGATGCAAAGTTTTCGCATACCTTTCGTTCTAAACCAATAGTAAATTCTACTCGCGGGATATTTCTGTTTCTTGGCTCCAAAGAAGGAATACTACTGTAATGGCCAAGTGGTAATGTCACCAAATTACCACCTCAGGGAATGTGTGTTCGAACCTCACCACCATCGCCTGAGTTTCCCCATGGCAGCCCTTTGATTGGCCGCTTCCCCCTTCCTGAAAATTGTGTCATTCTGTATTCAATATAAGGAAGTAAATTAATTATAATTATAATAATAAGAATGATACTAAGGATAATCGATAATGAGGAGCACTGCGCGGAATCGGAGCATTGAAAAAAAAACCCACAAACTCGCGAGTGTGTTGAAAAATCATTCCTAAACACATAAGATGGCTATGTTGGCCGTGTGTTACCGCGATGCCTAGTATCAGGATGCGACACGTGAAGTATAGATAACGGGTGGGTTATCCAACGATAATGAAGTTCTTTACCGATAAAGTTAATTGTATTTTTTTTGGTTGCAAGCACATTTTCTCAGCCCGGTTGATCATATCATCCTCGCTAAGATGTGCAATGCCCTGGACGCATTTGCTTCCAATATTTCGTGTGTATGTGTACATCAAATCTTTTGGAATCGGGTTAGATCGACTTTTATGGGTCCTTTCCGACAATTAAGAGCTTTCCAGAAAAAAGAACGTGGTTAGACACATCAGTTATGCTAAGTG